TTTCTCAGGCTTGTCCTTGGGAGGTGTCTGGTCGTTCAGCTTGTCCTTGGAGAGTGGGTTGCCGTTCAGCTTGGAGCAGTTGAATGAGAAATCGTCTTTTCGCGTTCCCTTTTAAAGGCTTTCGTGGAGAGAGATACCCCACCAATTCATTTTCTCTCCCCTCTAAATTGCGCAGAATTATATGCTCAAGAGAGTGATCCCCACTCATCACGGTTACCCCCACTCTATGAAAATCCCCACTTTACTTTTTTCTCGGTGCTGGCACAGGTTTTGGTGTCCTTGGCGCAGGCTCTGGCTTTGATTGTCTTGGTGCTGGCACTGGTTTTGGCTGCCTTGGTGCTGGCACTGGTTTTTGTTGATTTGAAGAATTCATTGTTATTGTATAAACTGTCTAACGATTAATGAGCATATATACTGAAGACGACTCAATTTATACCCTACTTTTATATTTTGCGCATGAGCATAGTCTTAAACTAATATGATGGGATAAAATTATAGACAAATTCTATAATTTCTTTAAAAAAAAATTTTTTTTTATTAAATAAATGTTTAGAACTTCATAATATTCTTTAAGCGATTCAGTAGAACTCGCAGTAAAATATTCACTGTCATTATCGACTTCATCACACCTCCATCAACATTTCTTACAAAACTTCCTTTGCAGATTTGAAAAACCATTTCGTAACATTAATCCATTACTTGCTGCACACCATTTATTACATAGAGTATGGTAGGTACATACATATGCCGATGATTCCAATTTAAGTTTTTTAAGCGAAGGACAATTAAAATCTTCAAGGTTTCGTACATTAATTACATATCTTTCAAGCAATTTCTTTTTCTCCAATCCCTTTACATAAATCGTACGAGCACCAGCTAACAAATCTTGTAGAAGTGATTTGTAATTGGTCATATGGCACATCGCCGGCAGTCCATTTAGTCCATGATAGTTGTGCATCAACCACATATTTTCACTCTTATATCGTCCAGGTAGAGAACTCCAACTGCATGGTGGTTCAAACAGGAATACCATCGGTTGAGCATCTTCTTCGAGAGGAATAATGGCCAGCTCCTTGAAGATGAAGTCGTTGTAGGGTTTCTTGAAGCCTTGGATGTCCACAATGAAGTCCATGGTTGCAGCAGAATGAGAATTTCTGTGTTAATTCTTCACTTTTATACTAGCGGTTTACCCCCACTACTTATGTTACTTTCTTAACCAGACCGCTGATTGGTTTATACTGTATAATACGATCATGAAGAATCAAGCAATATGCCGCTGTATTGGCGGGAAAATTTACACTAGATTCAAATTCCAATCTCACATCTACAGAAGCTTGTTTAAGAAATTCATTTTGCTTTGAGCAATCTATAACAGCCAATGGTGCATAATCTTTAAAATCTTTTCTAGATAATATGGGCTCAGAATCTTTTCCATAATATGATGTTTGAAAATTACAATACATGTCATAGAGTATAGAGAATTTGTTTTGATTAAAATTTAAATTTAAACTACCATATGGATAGTACTGTGAGTTTAGAAAAAGTTTTACGTTCACGAGATTACAGGCATCAAAAAGGTTTGCATATCTTGCATGATTATCTTTTCTATTTGTTTGAAAACCAAGGATAACATATCGAGGTTTCTCAACCTGTGTAGATGTTTTTACAGTCCAGACATGTTTCTGAGTTGCAGGTATAAGTGGATATTCATACAGTTCCCATGATCTAAAACTCATACTTATAAGTGGATCTTTTTCAATAAATTTCAACAATTCAATTTTTTGACGATCACCAACAAACAAATATGGAATCATCCATTCAATTTTATTAATTACAATTTTAAATTCTTCACGTTCAACTCCAAGAATATTAACCACAGCATTAAGATCTGTACGAGATCTTGTTAAAATAAGTTCATGTTTTGCATTTACAACAATTTTTCGATAATCTTCAGCAAATCCAAGAATCATGCTTAATGGTATATTTACATCAAAATATCCAGCATCATCCGTTACTCTACTAGTATCATCAAAATTTAGATGACCAGCATTCTCAGCATACATAAATTGATTAGGTGTTTGTGAAATGTAAAATTTCATGTTGGTTGAGATACCAACATTTTTGCAACCATCAATTTCAACACCATTAAGTTCATAACGTATATCATTAAATAAATGGCAAATTCCATTGCTAGTTATTTTTGTGTTTGTGACATTGGTATTATCAGGTTTTGAAATTCTTCCATGTATATGTAATGTACTTTTACAGGGTAAAATATACAAATCTTGATGTTGTACTGCAATTCTAATCTCATCACTGTTATTAAATGCTGATGAAACATATGGTTGATGAGAATGAATCTCATAATGTGCTAATGAATCATCATATTTCACAGGGCTTAGTATATTCAAAGTCTCTGCCATTTTGATTGCAACAACAGCAAATAAAAAGTGCACTAATAAAAGGTTTTATTTTCTTCTTCTTCTCTCTTGACGAATTTTCAGACCGAGCTGTTTCAGAAAACGTATGTTCTGAGATGTTAATCTCTTGCGAACTGGATCGAGACTGAATGTTTTCTGACATTTTGACTCGTTTATATAACTTCCACCAGATTTTCTGTCAAACACAATGCCCATTACGTTGTTTTCACGTGTAGTCTAATTGTTATTGTTTCACCTCTGAAATTTACTAAATCTCCGTCCTGATCAACAATTCTGAGTTGAATATTACGTATTGTCTTCACGGCGACTGGAAGATAAATGACGTGTGAAGGTACTTCTACAATCTTATATCCAGCTGGTACTATTGGAAAAAACTCGTGAATGGTATGGACTTTTTTATTATTAATATATGCACCAGTTGTAATACTACATTCTACTCGGATAGAATTTACCTTGAGTATAGATACTGGTAAATCAGATGTATGAGTTTTATTAGGTTCTAATTGTCGTGGTGCAAATCCCAATAGCTGTCCAATAGAATCTTTTTTTTCAAAATTTATTTTAAGACTGCTTCGTATTTCACTACGTAGGGTATTATTATTAGGTTTTATACTTATAGCTTTAGTTCCATTAGCAACAGAATGTTGAATATATTTTTCAATATCTTCAATTTCATAACTGCCAGGTGGAATAGTGATTACTTGATTACCAATATAAAATTTATTCTTTCCTTCATCAATATTAGGAATTGAATTGAATGTTAAAAGTTCTACAAGTCCAAGAATATAGTTTTTTTTAGGTAATAATTCAATTGGTGGAAAATATTCAGCCTCTAATACCGATGAACTACCAGATATTGTTATAGTAAACGATTCATCCATGATGAAGTCTTTTTGAAAACTGATTAATAAAACTTTTTTACTTCATTTATATAGACTTTTTATTCACTTCAATTTGTTTACATAAAAATTTGAGACACAAATGACCACAATTAAAAGTACCATAATCTTGATAATTTTCATAATTATACATTATTAAAATATCATCACCAAAATAGTTGACAAGCTCCAATGGTGGTTGAAGATTTCCAAAACTGTCAAAGTACACTACATTGTTATTAACCTTTTTATATGCTACCCAATGTGTTCCAGGACCGTTTTTATCGTCAAGGTTAATAATCGCTGACTCAATCTTTCGAGGTCCTCTTTTTGGTAATTCATTTCGCATAAAAACACCTCGAAAATAAGGAATATTTAACTCCTTAGAGTACTTGAGTAAATCATAGTTTGTTAATGCACGTTGAGGAATTTTTACGTTTTTTTTTTTCTCATTCCTTGTCCTCTTTGATAGGGTTTTAAGTTTAGTCCTAACCCTTGTCGATACGGTTTTAAATGCATTCCTTGTCCTCTTTGATAGGGTTTTAAGTGAAGTCCTAACCCTTGTCGATATGGTTTTAAATGAAGCCCTTTTCCAAGTGCAACAGATTCCATTGTTCTATTGTGACGTTGAGCTTCTTTCAATTGTTCTTTAGCTGCACTCGCTTCATTTATAGCTTTTTTTATTCCAGCAGCTCCTCCAGCAAGAGCTCCAAGAGCACTTAAACCAGCAAATATTGGAATTAATGGTAAGATACCACCAACTTTTGAAGGTATTGATAAAATGCGAGGTGGTGAAATTTTCTTTTTACCACCTGCTTCCTTGATAGCTTTTCTAGCAGATTTAACAGCAGCAAGAATTGTGGTTCGAGCATCATTTCCAGGAATTATTGATTTTCTAGCAGCAGTAAGAATTTTTGTTAATGCAGTTCGTTTTTTACAAATTCCTTTTCTTTTCTTGTTTCTTCTTCTACTTCTTTTCTTATTCTTCTTCTTTCCCCTTCCAATTCCCATACCAAATTTAGATTTTACTTTCATAGCGTTAGTTACTGCGTAAGCTGCAGCTCTCTCACCGTAGCTTGCGTCAGGAGCCCAAACACGTTGCCAAGCTTTATCCGCTAGGACTCTATCAGCAATGTTTCTTGCTTCAACGCTTTCTCGATTCTGAGAATATGAAATATCGTGCTGCTTACAAGCTGCGTCTAAAGGATTTATTCCTAGATCACCACGTGCTAAACGTTTTGCTAATTTTGTGCCTGGTCCACAGTATTGATAACCAGGCAGATGAAATTCAAATGGCAACTTATTAATGAGACTATTAACTAGACCTTTACCTCGAATTCTGCGATGTACAATCATACTGTACTCTACGGCAGTTGAGATTAGAATGACTTGAAAAGTATATAAACCCAATATTTATACTTTTCCATCAGTCTGCCTCATGATGCGATTCGATAAACAACCTCAAAAACTTCCAGTTGTAAATCTGGATACCATTGTTGAACAACAAGAGAAAAAAATAAAACGTCATGGTAGTTTACTATCGGGTAGTATTCGCGGTATATTCTGTGGACCATCTAATTGTGGAAAAACAAATGTACTTTTATCTCTAATATTAGATCCTAATGGTTTAAGATTTGACAATATTTATCTTTACTCAAAATCACTGCAACAACCAAAATATAAATTTTTGGAGCAAGTTGTGAGTAAAGTTGATGGGGTTGAATATTTACCATTTAGTGAACATGAAGAGGTAATTTCTCCTCAAAATGCAAAGCCAAATTCTATATTTATATTTGATGATGTTGCGTGTGAAAAGCAAGATAATATAAGGGCTTTCTTTTGCATGGGTAGACATGTAAGTGTTGATAGTTTCTATCTATGTCAGACTTATGCAAGAATTCCAAAACATTTGGTGCGAGATAATGTTAATTTGCTAGTTCTTTTTCGTCAAGATGAAAAGAATTTAAAGCATGTGTATGATGATCATGTAAATACGGATATGACATTTTCTCAATTTCGAGAATTGTGTTCAGCTTGTTGGAATTCTGACAAATATGGCTTTGTTGTAATTGATAAGGATAGAAATATGAATGAAGGAAGATATAGGAAAGGTTTTGATTGTTTTGTTTCACTATAAATAAGAACAATTATTAAATTTATTTTAGTTCAAGTTGAGACCTTGTTACATCAAGATGTATAATAAAGAAAAAGAATATTTACGTCAAATTGCCAAAGCAAGTGAGGCAATAAGACGTAAGCATCGCATGTTTAAATTAGGAAAAGAAGATGCTGAAAATATCTTGACTACAACATTCAAACCTATAGTTGAACCTTTACAAAAAATTATTTCTATAAATGATATTAAACTTGAAAATGCCGACATTGAAAAGAGAGAAAAGAGAGAAAAGAAAGTTGAAGAGGAATATAATGGTGAAAATGATTATGATGATGTTGAAGATGATTTTATGGGTTTTATGAATGCTAATCAGATTGATAAAACAATAATTCCAGACTTTGAATATGATAAAGTACTAGGAAAATATATTTACTTGATAAATCACAATAGAAAGCAATGTTTGGATCAAATTTATGGAGTATACAAAAATGAAAATGGATCGCTTATGATGGGTGATACACCAATATATTTTAAAGATAATGTTGTAAATGTTGGAAACAAACGTTTTAATATTACCACTGGATTGTTGGAACTTTTATTTAAAAATAAAACAAAAGACGCATACATTAGTGAAGATGACATGAATAATTATAAACAAATTCTTATTATGTCAAATGCACACAAAAGAAAATATAAATCTTCTGAACCCATCAATACAAGTAAAAGTTTAAAGTACAGTAATATTATATCCAAACTTTTTCCAAATAATAATGGAACTTCTAAAGAGCAATTAAAAACTGGTACATCTCTTCCAAAGTTTATGATTACAAAGCAAAATTTTCAACCAGACTACATTTATTGGGATGATCCAAATGAGTTAGTTGAGCGTTTAAAATTGCTTACTGCATCTCAAGAAGCTGGTAATCCAAGTCACAATAATGAAATTATGTCCATTATTGAGGAGTTACGGGAAGCTAAAATTATATATTAGTAATTGTTTTCTCGAGTTGAGATCAGTTTCAAAATGAGCATCGATGTATTCGGACATCCTCTTAATCGAGGAGGAACAACTGTAGCAAAAAGAGGACCACCTGGACCACCAGGAGTTGGCTTTAAGATTAATTCACAAGGCGACTACGAAGTTGAAGGAAGAAGAATTTGCAGCGTTGCAAATGCTGAAGAGGAGGGAGACGTAGTTAATTTATTTATTGCTCGGAGTATGATAGAAAACGAAGTAAGACCAGTGCATGATATCACATCTTCATTACGATCAGATATTGATAAGAGTAACGTTTTGTTAAAAATTATTGAATCGTCTACAGTAGAAAATTTACAAAATATTCAAAAACAAATAAATCAAGATTTATCCTATCGAAACGCTGAAATTATTGGTGAATTAGATACTCGTTTAAGAGCTCTCGAAAGTGACATCAGAAACCTTGAAAAGCAATTAAATAAAAATATTTTAATTGTTGACGACAGTCAAGTGTTGATAAAGACGTTTGGGGACTCTGTAGCAGAGAAATTAAAAAATATTGAAAGACAAATAAGTCCAGATTTGTCATATCGAAACGCTGAAATAATTAGTGAATTGGATGCTCGTTTAAGAACTTTGGAAAATGAATGATAAAAAATTAACAGTAGTGCATGAGCTTCATACACAAGCTCGAAAAAATTATCCTCGACGTCGAGTAGAAATGCGTGGTATTGATGATACTTGGCAAGCTGATTTAGTAGAAATGATACCCTACTCTAAAGTAAATAAAGGATTTAAGTACTTACTTACAGTTATAGATATTTTCTCAAAGTATGCTTGGGCTGTTCCAGTAAAGAGTAAAAGTGGAAAAGATGTTGTTGAAGCAATGAAATCTATATTTGCAAAGAAACGTATTCCAAAAAACCTGCATTCAGATAAGGGAAAAGAATTCTACAATTCCCAATTTGAAGCATTAATGAAAATGCATAAAATTAATTTTTATTCAACATACAGTAATCTGAAAGCGTCCATTGTTGAACGATTTAATCGAACACTCAAGAGAAAAATGTGGATGCAGTTTAGTTTACGAGGCAATTACAAGTGGTATGATATATTATCAAATCTGATTGCTAATTATAATGATTCCAAACATCGAACAATTGGAATGAAACCGAAAGATGTAACTTCAGAAGATGTTGATACTTTAAAAGGAAGATTTTTAAAATTAAGGAAAATACCGCAGCGAAGACCAAAGTTTAAAATTGGTGATAACGTACGAGTCAGCAAATTCAAAAACGTCTTTGAAAAAGGTTATACTCCAAATTGGACAACTGAAATATTTACCATTGACAAAATTGCATCAACTACACCTGTGACTTACAAACTCAAGGATTACCAAGATCAACTAATCAGTGGTGGATTCTATGAAGAGGAACTTCTTAAAGTAAAATATGCGGATATATATCTTGTAGAAAAAGTTTTAAAGACTCGTGGAAATAAAATATTTGTAAAATGGTTAGGCTTTGATAATTCTCATAATAGTTGGATAGATAAAGCAAATCAACAATGAATCATTAATGAATCAACAATGAATCATTAATGAATCATTAATGAATCAATAATGAATCAACAATGAATCAACAATGAATCATTAATTAATCAACAATGAATCATTAATGAATCATTAATAAATCAATAATAAATCAACAATGAATCATTAATGAATCATTAATGAATCAACAATGAATCATTAATGAATCATTAATGAATCAATAATGAATCAACAATGAATCAATAATGAATCAACAATGAATCAACAATGAATCAATAATGAATCAATAATGAATCAATAATGAATCATTAATGAATCAATAATGAATCAACAATGAATTAATAATGAATCAACAATGAATTAATAATGAATTAATTATACATCAATGTTAAATTAATAAAATAAATGTAAAACTTTTAAGGTAATAAATAAATAAAACCAATTATACATATTACAAGTATATGTTTATTTAATATTATTATTTACATTTGAACACACAAACACATACACACATTGACAAGTCGTTGACATTCATACTTCATCATCATTTCTCTTTATTTTATAATGTCCCCAAGCGAGAGTGTCGCTACTTTCTGGTAACAAATAACGCTTGTTATCCATCGGACTTAAAGCTACTTTAATTTGTTTAACAGTTTCAACTTTGTGTAATCGTGATCTGATAACATGTTGAGTTCTCATTTGAATTGAATAGTTATGTAAACAATCAATATAATCATCAAATTCTATATCTTTCTTCACAACTGATGCTTTTACACCTTTTGCTTTTTTCGTAAAATCTTGACCATTTACACGAATACTGTACATTTTACTCCGCAAGCCAACAAATTCAGTAATAATTTTTCCACTACACTCATCTTTCATGAGTCCAAGTATTTTATTGTTGGCTTGCGGAATATTATAAATATTATCCTTTGGATAGTCTGACGTATCAAATTTGTGAATATCTTCCCTCATATCAGCAAAAATGTCATCACATTTTAATTCGTAAATTAAGCTATCCGTATCTGTGTACATCAATTTGCAAGATTTACCATACTTTTTTAACATATAATCATAATGAAAGTCATAAATAAGCATCTTTGACAAATCAAGTACCGAAAAGCCAATGTAAATTGGTTTGTTCATTAAAATTTCTGTTTTTCTAAGTTCAATCGCTACTAAATTTTCATTAAATATTGACCGACTGTGAAAGTTGGGTTTGGAAATGAGAGCCTCAGCACCATAGCGACCATTCCATTTAGTTACAAGTTTGACGTCGACATGTTTCCGAACATTTTCCATCGTTTTTCCATATACAGCATTATTCATGAGTTTAAAAAGGTTCTTTTCAAATTCATTTTTTGCCTTAGCTCTCATCGAAGTATTGAAATCTATATATGACTTAAGCCATGTTGATTGATTGAATTTCATGATTCTATGAATTTTTACTAACTTTAACCCATTAGCTATAACCTGTTTCAATACCCTGCAATGAATAATATATTTCCGCTTATGATTCAAAGTTGTCAAAAGTTTCGCTTGCTTTAATTCTGATGGTGGATTTGTGTGTTCAGAACAAAATGGGAAATCACTGTGACTGTCATGCAAATCTTGCGGATAATCTAAATCAACTTCTAAAATGTAGCTAAAAGCTTCATCATCTTGAATATTAAAATCAAAATCATCTGAAACCGGAATCCACTCAAATCCACCATAAGGAAGTGGTTGGACCATACCCCACCCATACAAATTGTTTGCATCAAAATACATAATATACTTGATTTCCTCATTCTCATTAAAATTTTCCATAAAAGGGTTATTAGCACAAGCATAACGATTGCTACATTGACTAATACCTCCTCGCACACCACGTTCAAAAAACATTAGCTTATCAATGTCTGTAAGCAGTTCTAACCTCACTTTAGTACATTTTAACATCGCATCCCACGTCAATCCTGGTGTTGTATAGTAGTGAGCAGGATCAAGTCCATAAGCGAGTAGGCATTGATCTCTGAAATTTTCAAAGATATCCGTTAATAACAGGACATCAGTTTTCATGTATAAATCTACATATTCTCCGAGATTAGAACAATTAAATGTAGACCATACACGTTGAGCATGTAAATAATCATCATCAGAAATCCCACTATCATTTAATGTACTATAAAAATTTTCTTTATCTGGTAATCTAGTTTCTTTCAACTTTACTAGATTATCTAAATATTCGTAAGGTAAAACTCCTTTACGTGTTAATAAATTTATTTCCTCTAAAGTGAAGTTAGAAAAAGCTTGTTTGACAATTTTATATTCTGTAAGGTATGATGCTAATTTTTCTAAAGATGATGCCATGAATTTGAAAGAGTCGATAAATCGAAATTTAATTTCAGTTCCTTTTACATGCTTGCTAAATGAAATATACTTTTCTTTATTTAACGGTAATAGTTCAATTCTGCCTTCAAATTCTAAGCAAATATCTTCAATTATAAAATGAGCATCATACCCACTTAAATTATGAAATACAACAGGTATTACTCGTGAATCTTGATAATTTAAATTACATGCTTCATGTGCAGGGCCTCGATATTTACCTGTTAAATGTGAATGATCTCGAACTTTCTTGTCAAGTGAAGAAATTTGCCCATCACAAATGTGACATGTTGTTGATACTGCAAATTTCTCAATTTCCTCTGCTGTCAATCTATCCATTGGAATTGGATTTTTCATAATTGCGTCAACGTTTTGAGCAATTTTCTGCAACACCTGGGAGAACCACTTGGCAGGATTCACTCCTTCTGGACTTGAATTATAACCGGAAAGTGAGTCATCATAGCTGCATTTAATATAATATCCAATGCTCAACATTTCATGTCGTTGAATAATTTCTGTATTAGTATTATTTTCCTCATCTCTAACAGGTTTTAGAAGGCACTCACAATCTGCATAGATTACAAATGGAACTTTTTCTTTATTTCCATGATTTTTAAAATAAATGAAATTCTTTCCGGGTTTGGGTAGGTTAATTCTGCATTCATTTAATTTTTGACACTCGTCTACGTGTTTAGTTAGTTTTTCCTCCGTGGTAAAGTAATGAAGACATCGGTCGCAAATGTATTTTTTACTTCTGTTTTTAGAGACTTGAGAACTCACGAGACGAGACAAATTCTTGATCCACACGTAGTGATAATCTAGTGAGATGACTTGATTATTATCATCATCATTATCACTAGAACCCTCATCTTCATAATGACTTTCAACTCTTAACAAATTGACATGCTTCTCCTTTTTCTCAGCAGTCAAGTGCAATGGAACAGTAATAAAATTCTTGCCTTTTAATCGCAGTCCATATAAATTTATGGAGATTTCATTATTTTGTTTCTCAAATTTCGAAATATCCTTTAGTTTTAAAGGAAAATCTATTCCATCACAGTTTAATTCATTTTCAAATTCATAATAATTGGAGAGA